GTAATTTTTTTCTTCCCTTTAAATATGACCACATCCGACTGACATTATGATCCCTCTTCCTGAATGTTAATAATGGAGAAAATATTTGTTTTAATAATTGTGTTATGTTACAGTGATTTGTGTTATATAAATATGCAGGCAAAAGGTAGGAATCAATTCACAAGTGTAATTGACAGACAAAAGAAAAAGGGACAGTAAAATTAAGATGGAATGTGCTATATCTTACATATAGTTACGATTAAGATTTTTAAGAAGGGGGTATGGGATGATATTAGCAAATGATTAAAATTAACATGCGGTAGAAACGAGAGACTTGATAGAAATGGATTAATTTTGTAAAAGAGATGCAGAAGATACAAAATGTAAAAGTGTATTTGTAAAGATTTATAAGATCGAGTTTTTAAATAAAGCTATTGAGGAAAATTAATATGCAATATCACGTGACAATATTTGATTTATTTGATTTTTTTTATTTTAAGCCGCCTCGTTGGTCTCTTACTCGACCCGAGTGCCGGAGGTTGCTGGTTCAAACCAAATGGTCCCCGACCAGGTCAAACTAAAGACTTGAAAATTTGTATTTGCTGATTCAACGCTTATCACGCCTCATATATGATTGAGGATAAAGACTGGTCGGTTAGGAGTTAGAATAAGGTACAGAGTAGGTGACATGTCTGTCTTTCTATGAATAAGAACGTTAAGCGTGTCGGTCTAGTATAACACATATTCATATTACATTAAAAAAGTCGCGTTCTCGTATTATTTCATTTTGGAGAAAAAAATCTTCTCTGACGAAGGCTATTTGTCCGCTAGCTCTACGTTATTATGTTTATTTGATGAACTATTTTCAGAAAGTGTACGTGACCTTAGACTTCTTTTGAATCGATATTTGTGGAATCGGTGTTGCCTTGTCCAACTTAAGTACACATCTGTGCCTTTATATTTTGCAGTTTGTTTACGCCCTTCATCTATGGGTCGTATTATGGTATACCGTAGTCCGTCCGTTTGTCAACATGTCGCACGATAACTCATATTTGATTTAACATATTCTCATTAATAAATTTTAACGCATTAGGATTGACAGAAGCAACTCCCTTTCCGATGTTTTTTTTTTTGGTTGGTCGTTCCAGGGTGAGGGCAGTCACTTTAACCGACAGATTTAAGGCTATTTTTCTCATATCACTTGCTAACTCGATTTTGCTTTAATATATTGATAAAACTGTATGTTTTTGTTGGAATTGATAAAAACTCCATTTTTATTTTGAATTTTCTTTTTACTTGTCGTTCAAGAGATACCAGACTTTAACCGTCAGATGTAAAGCAATGTTTTACATATCGCACACCTTTTTACAGTATTGTTGAAATTAATTTGGTTAAAACTTTATGCAGTTATTGGGATTGACTAAAATAAATTCCCTCATTGTCATTTTGCTTAGTTTCTTTTGTTACCTATTCTGACATCGGAATCGGACTTCTTTTAAACTGAGTTTTACTGTTCATATCACTGTGTGTTTCTTTATTCTACATTGGCTAGAGGTATAGGGGGAGGGTTGAGATCTCACAAAACATGTTTAACCCCGCCGTAATTTTAGTTCATTTATATGTTTAAGAGTTTAGTTTGACGTCCATTTTCACTGAACTAATACACATTTTTATTTAGGGGCCAGCTGAGAACAATCTCCGGGTGCGGGATTTTTTCGCTGTGTTGAAGACCCATTGATGGCCTTCGGCTGTTATCTGCTCTTTGGCCGGGTTGTTGTCTCTTTGACATATTCACCATTTCCATTCTCAATTTTACCTTATGATTTTCAATATTTTCTTGTGTGTCTTTTTTTAGTTACAGGACTTTATCTGTCAGTTTTGAAATACTGTTTCACTTTTCTGCACTAACTTGAGTATGCTTAAATAGATTTTCTTGAAACCTTACATATTTGTTGGTATTACATAGTAAGATACGTTTTATGTAGAAAATTTTCCTATATTTAATCAAGAGTTATTGGACTTTGCACATTTCAAATATTGTCTCATTTTTTTTTTTCATAAATCTGAATTTTGCCAGCCAAATACATATATGTCATATATAATTATATTATTTTTGTAGGTTTTCAAGAAAATATCTGTGTAATCAACAGTGCCGGTAACACGACAATCACAATAGTTGAATTAAGTGTACAGCAAAATTCAACATTATGATCCGAATACATGTGTAATGTGACAGAAGAACAGAAAAATGCAACAGGGATTGTCATAAAGAAAATACATGCGCTATCTCAATGATTATTCCAAATAACTGTTTGTTTAATGATTTTGGGAATTTGTCCATTTCATATTCATGCACAGGTAAACAAATTTCATTATAAAAATTTCAGCATGATATATTTGACAAAAGAATAAATAAATATACAGCCGAAATTTACCCAAAGGAACTTACTTTAAATAAATCAAATGTAAGCGGTAATAACTGTCCTTTCCTAGATATCGATATTTCAGTTTTACACTCCAAACTAACCTTTACGACAAAAGTGACGATTTTTCGTTCCCTATTGGTAATTGTCCTTTTTATTAATGGTGATGTTCCTTTGGCACCATCTTACGGTGTTTATATTTCACAACTCGTTCGCTATACCCATGTATGTTGTGACGTTTTTGACTTTAATGAGCGTAGTCTATGTACTACTGGTAAATTATTAAGTCAAGGATTTCGTTACCACAAATAACTTAAAACCTTTACTAAATTCTTCCATATATATAAAGATTTGGTTTTGAAGTTTGGTTGTACCTGTAGAAAACTTATTTCAACGGGATAGCACATCCTCGTTTTTACGAAGATGTTTTTTACCGTGCCCGGAAATTTAGAAACGATCCTGGTAAACTTATCGATCCTTTAAATAAACTTATTCTAAAAGGTTACCAATTCAACACTGTAATTTGATCTTTGAATATTGTTTTTATTGGTATTAATATTGATTTTGTTATCAGTAAATTAAAAGCAAACTAAATATTATTGTAAAATACACTCTGTGTTTTTGTTAGATGTATTTCTATTTGTATCCATCTGATGAGTTGAGCTTTTTTCAACAGATTTTTATAGTTCGTTCTTATGTTGTACTGTTACACCACTATCCCAGGTTAGGGGAAGGGTTGGGATCTCGCTAACATGTTTAACCCCGCCACATTCTGTATGTATGTGCCTGTCCGAAGTCAAGAGCCTGTAATTCAGTGGTTGTCGTATGTTGCTGTGTTACATTTTTGTTTTTTGTTCATTTTTTTGTACATTAATTAGGCCGTTAGTTTTCTCGTTTGAATTGTTTTACACTTGTCATTTCGGGGCCTTTTATAGCTGACTATGCGGTATGGGCTTTGCTCATTGTTGAAGGCCGTACAGTGACCTATAGTTGTTAATATCTGTGTCATTTGGTCTCTTGTGAAGAGTTGTCTCATTGGCAATCATGCCACATCTTCGTTTTTTATATTAACTAAAAAAAACAGCGTGCGACATTCACTGATTTTTAAAAAAATAAAACAGCGTAGATATGGCAAGCTCCTTCGGTATATTGGCATAGAAACTTTTATTAGTTGATATAAATTTAAAAAAAAAACAACGGGAAATCTAGGCATGAAAGCGTGTACAATGCAACTGTTAGATTTCCTTGGAGTATAACTCACCTGAAAATACAGAGTATGTACTGATGGTTGAACTCTACCGAGGCATAGTTAAGTAATCTTTGATATAGATTTAAACAAATTAACAAGAACTGTAGCATGAGAGTACATCGATAAGGATTTCTACGGGACATTACTTGCTGATATAGGAGTTATGTCTAATATCGGTCGACGAGCTCAAAATATAATGCATTTAATCAAAGCTTTCAATAAAGATATTTATCAAAACAAATTGGGTTAATGACTCGTATATGCAGTCTCATTCATCCATTTATCCATTTATTCATATCATGTTTATGATTATTTCTTCTCCATCAATATAGGTTTTGTATTTGTAGATTTGAATAATCATTCACAGGCATGTCTTAAAACGGACGAATCTATATTGCTTCCTGGGTGCTCAAATATTTACCCACAGCTCAACAAAACTAGGATTATGTTTGATCGAAAGTTCGACTACTGTTCAACTGTAAACCATGATTCACAAACCTCAATTATAACTTTATGTATCGATATTTACAACTTAAACATTTGCACCTTCAATCTTTCTGAAATGATTTGGAAGGATCCAAATTGTTTTCAATCAAGCAGGCTTTTGATTGAGTGTAGATGTGAAGGTAATACATGTATGTAAGGGGAAAAATCAAAAGAAAATAAATAGTAGTATAGTACTTTTAACTTGTTCCTGTGTTAAACTGATTTGAAAGAAAACAGAAATGGAAATAGAAATCAGTAAATACAATATAACATAACATTTCATCCATACAATTTTTTGTTATCAAACACAAACAGTAATATTATTTTAAATTAAGGATGACCTCTCATGCATTAATCCGCATAGTAATCTTAAGTTTCAGTTAAAGAATTTAATTTCACAACAAAAAGAGTTTTCATGAGATGTCGTAAAATAAGTTCAAAATTTTTGATAAGTGCAATAATAACATCAATAAAACTGACTTTAACACATTTCTAATGATTATTTTTCTGTGTATTTGTACATTGATGTATTCCATGTAATTTAAATAGTAATATTTTGTAACCAGTAGGCAATTTGATTATTCGTTCATCAGACCATAATTGTTCGTCAAACTGAAGAGTACATCACCAGAATATGTTAATTTGAAAATTTCATAAAACTGCTTTAAGACTTGTGTTGAAGACAGACATACATATCTATAATATAAAACAGTGTTAACAAAAAACATAGTGAATAGTTTTATCAGATAAACAAAGGAATCAACTATTTCTATTGATAAAAAAGTACAGCAATAAGTTCAAACATGCTTGTTGGAGTTTTTCATTTAAGAGAATAAACCGATTTTTTCAATAATTGTAGAGAGTGTTCCAAATATTCTATCAGAAGTTGCACAGAAGAAAAAGGTTTCCATGGACATAGGTATACATAAATAATGGATAAGTCAGTAATCGACATATCTCTATGCATACCCACTATGCTTTGATATATTGCAGTATTCAATTGATGAGGCAACGGTGTTACATTTGTTTATCTAATTCTTACCCGAATGGTCATTTTCCTAACCTGTTGATATTTTTTTATTTAATCAACGTGTGGTTCGTTTGATCTCAGTTCTTCATTGGTCTAAGTTCTATAATGACCTCAAATTACAGTTTCCTATTCTGACGTCATGAAAAAAGGCGACCATGCCTGATGACATAACATAGAAAGAACACATCGTTTTGAAGAAGTATTAAGATTTTCTGCATATCGTGGCAAAACAACTTATTTTAAGAAAAACAGATTACACCACCAAATCTCGTGCAATACGAGATTTACCCTCTCGACAGTTAAATTTTTGAATATTTAAAACACTCGGCGAGCCTCGCGTTTTAAATTTGAAATAAACTGTCTCTAGTGGATAAATATCGTATCACCCTTGATGCAGTGGTAGAATCTATATTTATTAGTTTGGAAATTGTATATTTGAGCGCTGGTCGCAGAATAAATTTTAAAATTGACCATGTCCTTAAATAGTTTTGTATAGAATGTTATCCGTCATATTGATTGATGTTGCGAAAAAATGAAAAGACAACCCGTTATACACATACAAAAAAAATGGCTCATATCTTATTTAGTTCTTTTTCAAACAAAAAAATGTGGAGTGTTGTCGGATATGCCTTTTTTTCTATTTCCACGCCGATACCCTCAAGGTGTATACCACCAAATCATAGTACGTCACATCCGGTTGCATACGAAAAAGAGTCATAAACATATATCTTTGGTGTTTCAAAGCACCATTTTTTTTATTTGGTGTTTCTACAGAAAATTTTGGAAACTTGAGGTTACATGGTTACTAAATCTTGTACACAGGAATAAAACATATATCTTTGGTGTTTCAAAGCACCATTTTTTTTATTTGGTGTTTCTACAGAATATTTTGGAAACTTGAGGTTACATGGTTACTAAATCTTGTACACAGGAATAAAAGGGGTGATTGGTTAACTTCCAGTGATGGTTATTTTCTTATATGCAATGAAATGTGATGTTAAATTTTGTCTATAGCACTGGACAGGATAAAACTCAACTCATGCCAAGAATTTCTGTATTTGAAACAAAGATAAATTCTGCACAATGTTTTGAAAAGTGCAAATTTAACAAAGACTAATAGGGGAAATCAATGGTGGTATTACACCTCAACTGTACCTACCTTATTTGCACTCTTAACAAAATGTCTAATGCCATTAATGCAAAGACAAAAGTTTAAATAAGAATCGGAAAGAGAAAAGAGAAATGATGCATTTGTCATTAGAAGAGCACCCCAACAACACAAATAACAAAAAAACTAACATGTTTATTTTTAATTATTAACGAAGAACAATATAGGAAAACCATCCGTAATTCAACATAATCCAACGTGTCAAACAAAAACAAAAAAACACTAAAAGAATTTACATGTCTTTGACAATACCTTTATTCATTGACCAGCACCAAGCATTTATGGCATTGGAAAATGTGCACATTTTAACAAGTGCGACTTATTAGTTACACGATTATCTAAGAAGCTTGGCAGTCACGTTGAAACTTTTACATATGTATTGGTAATATTTTACAGGTGCAATCGTTGGTATGGTAGTCGATATCGTTCTGTTAGCTTGTGTTGTATCAATAAATTGTCTCATCAGAAGGTAATTTCGTTTTGATGATTTTAGATAAATAAATATCAAGGTTCCAAATATATCCCCACAATGAACAGCTCTTAATATTGTCCGTGTTTGACAGTGCCTTCGGTCATTTTCGAAAGATGTCAGCTCTTCAAAGTTTCTATCAGGTTTTAGTTTTAGAATATTCCTCTATCGCGAAACGCTGAATACACATTAATTTTCCACCTGCGCATCTGGTGACGTGCAATTGTAATTATCAAATTGAAATAATGTGTGAAATAGTGTGTAGTGTTACAAAAAAAGAGATATGTATTAGATATACCCATGAAGGCGAAAGTGCTATTGTGTATGTGTAAATATAATTACACCATGATATTATATCAAGGGAGATATAACAAATCTTAATAACATTTCTCCATATCTAAGGTAAGTATATATCTTCAATTCATAATATTCAATAGTTATTACATTTTTATTCCAATAATAATCAAAGCAATGCTCGACATTTAAGGTCAAGGAACAGTACATGGTCTATGTCACAGATTTTGCTAAACTTTTGCATACAACCTTGGCTCGTTGAACTGTAATTGAAAAACGAAATAATAATGCATTTATCTCTTTTATTATCTGAAATTTTACTGATTGAATTCTTTTAGCATATGTATAGAAAGCACATAAAATCGGCAAAAAATCTTCTTACATTTGTCTTAAAATCACCGAATCTCTAATTTCTACTACATAGGTTTTTTTTTTTAAACAGTATGTTGTTGATACATTAAACTTAGTTTTTATTTCAATTTTGATGATTTGTTTACGTTGAAGGTCAGGTTCGTGCAGAAAAAGGACAGAAAACCAAGAAACCGTCCCTGACAATAGCGATAACATTGGCAAAGACGGTCCAACTTTACCTAGAGTTAGTGATGGCAAAAATAAACAAAATAGTCACTGCAATGGAAAGAAAAACAATTATAATACAAACATTTATGACAGTGCAATAGAGGAGGTATAACAAAGCCGCTTTTTGACCACTAGAATAAAAAAAAACATTTAAAATATGATATATTTATCACAAAAATCACATGTTCACATATTTTCGTCAGATTTTAGTATTTATATTTTTTACTTTTTCATTGTATCTTTGCATTGAAGGTTCAAAATTGTTGCTTTCAACATTTAAATGTAAAAAACGTAAAACAAAATGCCGTATTTTGTTTTAATCCACAATTAATTATAACTTATAGTTATGTTGGTAAATTATCGTCTTTCATAAAATCAAATTGAATCGAAAACTATGTGTAAAATTATCAATTTTGTTTAAAATGTCAAAAGCAAAATGTTAATAATGTTTTAGTGTCAACAGATTATGGTATATCTATAATGAAAAGTCCTAATTATATGTTTTATTCATTTGCAATTTAACAAACTATGAAAGTCAAAATTTGGACAAAGATAATTCAGTTCTTCACATAGGAGGAACAAATGCTGTTAACTATAATGATCTTAATGGTGCTGGACAAAATGTTAAAATGCCATTTTAACACGACGATATTAAAATTGCAAAACAAGCGACGAAGACCTTAGATGGATTTGATTTTTTTTGGTCATGTGGATCCTCAACTGTTTCGGTTGCAAAATTAAAAAGAACAAAGAACAACATTTAAAACTAAAACAAACACAAACTCCTTTCAAGCAAAACTAGGGGTGACCTCAGGTGATCCGGAAGGGTATATATACCCTGCTCCACAGTTTTATTTCTGAAGAATAAGTTTTTTCTGAACAAGTTTTATTTCTTTTACCTGGTACCTTGTGTTAGCTATTATTCGTATGTTTCTCTGTCCTATATATTCTCCCATTTATTTGTATTGTAGTCCTGTCATGTAATGTTGTCATTGTAATGTTATATTTAACATTGCCATAAAAGTGCGAGGTTTGGCTAGCCACAAAACCAGGTTCAACCCACCATTTTTTTCTTAAAATGTCCTGTACCAAGTCAGGAAAATAGCCATTGTTATATTATAGTTCGTTTCTGTGTGTGTTACATTTTAATGTTGTGTTTCTGATGTGTCTCTTATAAGTTCTCTTATATTTGATGTGTTTCCCTCAGTTTTAGTTTGTAACCCCGATTTGTTTTTTCTCAATCGATTTATGAATTTCGAACAGTGGTATACTGTTGCCTTTATTTACCAGACGTGTGTGTAACGCATGTTTTGATTTGGTTAGTCAAATTAAAACATCAAGAGTGTATCCTTCCAAAATGACGACCAAATGAAATAACTCAAAATACGTCATGCGAGACCTATCTTCACAGCTGCATACAATTTTTAATGACTTTATTCACAGATGTAAATAATAAAAAAAAAACATCCCTCATGTACATTTTGTAACAGTACAACATAAGAACAAACTATATTTTTTTTATATAAAATAGTTTCCGAAATGATTTGACATTTGAAAATTGGGTTTTTGTTTACAATTTTGAAATTATTTATCTTAAATTAAAAAAATATATCAGCAATTATTAGAAAAAAAATGTGTCTTTCAAAATTCAAAATATTGTAGTGATGCAACGCGAAAAACACAAACGATTCAAGAGTTACATGTATAACTACTGTAACTGTAGCTACCGTTAATTCGATTAACAAAATAAATATACCAAAGGGACATTCTAACTCATAAGTCGAAAATAAACTGACAACGCCATGGCTAAAAAAGACAAACAGACAAACAATAGTACGCAAAACACAACATAGAAAACTAAAAACTAAGTAACACGAATGCCACAAAAAAAAAACTGGAAGTGATCTCAGGTTCTCCGGAAGGGTTGTGTTGCTCATGTTAGTACATACCCGGTAAAAAGTCTTATTCGGTAGGTCACATTTAGGAAAACGGGTTTTTTAAGTTACAACATTAGGAACACATTCGCTATCATCTATCACACGGATATTCCATAACGATCAACCAACTCGTACTGGCGTCTGTAAAATTTACGAAGGGATGATTTCAACTTCACTACTTTGTACTCTTGGTTAAATAGTTTCATTGTGAGTAGCAACTCTCTATCCAGGAAATCATGACAGGAACTTAAAACAAGACATGGACTATCGTATCAACAGGGAGATATATACTTAATATGCATGTTGCTACATAGAAATGGAAAGTTCACAATTGGGAAGCTGAAATCATCTCTTTTGTCGTACAGCTTTGTTGTTATCAACCGACCCTAGTTGTCAATTTCTAGATGTAGGTCAAGATATTAGGCAGATCTAACTGTATCATGTGTGTATCATACGTGTATCCTTTATCTCAAGTTCGACTGGATAGATGCGTTCAACATAGTCACCAAATTTTGAATTATTAAATGAAAGAACATCATCTATATAGCGGAAAGCAAATTTAAAGGATACTGCTAACTTCTTTTTTTTCTTCTCAAGAAGTTCTTGTATGAAATCAGCCTCTGAAACTGATACACATTTACAGCTTTATTAATATACACTGAACATAATACCAATTAAGGCTATACAGATGATGTCCTTTCACTGATTGATTCAAATTTCATGTTTTGACATCAGCTTTTCTACTGAACTTGAAATAAAGGATGCCATAGATACAGTTAAGCCTGGTAAATATCTTTATTAACGTCTAGAAAATTGCAATGAGGTTCCGTTGAGAACTAAACGTATTATTATACCCGGTATATTGTGCGTTAGTTTTCTCGTTTGAATTGTTTCAAATTTTCCATGTAGGGCCCTTTTATACATGACTATATATACGGTATTAAATGTTCTCGCTGTTAAAGAATGAACGGTGACCTATTGTTGCTCATATATTCGTCATTTGAAATCTAGTGGATAGTTGTCTCTTTGGTAGTCATAATACATCTCCTTATTTATATTATATTTAAAACAATAAAGATGATTTCAATTTCCCTTTGTGGGCATTTCAGTTCTGGGTAGCAAGATTCAAATAGTATACAAGTCCAAGTTGATACAACATCCTTATGTTATCAAGATCACGAGGCTTTTTGCTTACAAGAGGACTATTACATCAAGGTTCTCAATTCGAAAAGTTCTAGTCATAACTTTTCGAATATATACATAATGCTATCGTAAGAATGCAGTTATGAACTGTTTTGTTATTGTTTTTTACCCATCATTTTTATTTTTGGCAATGGTGTTTTTTTTTTTTATATTTATAGTTTTGAATTGCCCTAATTGTATCCAGCTTTTATCCCTCGTTGTCTTAATTCTAGATTTTAAAATGTCTTGTGTTATTTGGTTTTGTCGTAAGGATGCTGTTAAATTGGTTTTTTTTATATTCTTTTGTAGTTATGTCAATTGTTTTTTTTTTTCTCTCTCTGTGGCATATTTAAACTCCATTCTCAATTTAACATAGAAAAACTGTAACTTAAATAATTTTACCAAAAAAGTCATGACTGGTCGATGGACTACCTGTCCTTCTGTTTACTGAATTTTGTAAAATGAATTGATCGAAATAATAACACGTGTCAAGATATTTGTAATAAAAGTAAAGCTTGAAAAAAAAAATATATTCCGTTGATGTTTTTTTTTTCATAGAGAAGTAAAAATTAATAAGACTAGTATCTTTATATTAGGACATATCAATAACGTTTTTATTTCTGACATGGTGTCTTTTTTTTGACCTATTGGTTTTGATCGCCCAATTGGTATCTAGCTTCTATCCCTCTGTGTCTTAATTCAAGACCTTTCGATGTTTTGTGATTTGTTTTTAGTCGTTAGGTTGTTGTTAAATTGGTTTATATATACCCTATATCCTTTTGTAGTCATGTCATTTGTTTTTCTTCCCTCTCTTGCAAATTTAAATTCCATTCTCAAATTTACATAGAGAAACTGCTACTTAATTTACAAAAACATAATAATTTGGTCAGTAGACTGTTTATCTTTTTTTTGGTAAATTTCTTACAATTATTAATCAAAATGATAACATACGTGTCAAATTGTTTGTAGTAAACTTTAAGCTTAAACGAAGAAAAAAAAAACTTTTTCCGTCGTTGTTTTTCAGACAGTATTCAATAATTATCTTAATTTTGGGATATATCTTTCGCGCTAAGCTAAACTAGCATATTCGTACATTTTTATTTGTACAAACAATTTCTTTCAAAATTGTGTAAAGTAAAGCTTTGCCTGTCTTTTGATACATATTTGTTCGTTGCGTACGTCGCAAAACAGAAATGATTTTGATCAAAGTACGTGACATATGTATCGGAAATACATGTAATTGAAGCACTTTAATATACAATGCACGTTTTATACTTCCTCATCACACATTTGATACATGTAAGTAGAAACATGGATAGAATGAAGAAAGTCCTCGTTTTACTTTATATACAATTTATGGATTTATTTTCTGAAAGATTCTATGTAACAGGTAAAGAATATTTTGCTCATATATAAAATAAAAGTTGTTTCTATATCTTGCAAAATGAAATAGTTCATAATATTACGTTAAAGGAAAAGAAGCCAAATAAATATAAAAAACAATCCCCTCTCCCAAATAGGCAAAAAGAAAAAAACACCATCAAAAGTATGAGTTTTAATACCAATGGAAAACCATAGCGAACATATTGTATTGACAGTGCCTTGATGTAATGAATGCATACACAATTATTGGAAATAATTTGTTTTCTTTCAAAAGGTTTGTATGCACATTTGCATACAATACACAATTCCTGATATGATTTTTGGTTAAGCCGTTACTTGAGAATCGAAAACTTATCCTGAATAATATCTTTAAAAGTGGTTTAAATGAGAAGTCATTGGCCATATGTTAGAGGGGTTCCTCATTCTTTGATCATCTTATTTTACACTGATCACATTGTAAAATACCAGACATGTTCATGTGTGTTTGTATACGTATTTGTATGATATATGTAATGTAATAAAAAAAATCATGTTTAAAAATTAACTTTATGATGTTTCGCTTTCAAGTATAACCACACCCGTCATGAAAGGTGAACAATTGATAACCGACTGATATACAAAATTATTCTTCCTGTTTGTTTAAAATGGAGAAAATATTTGATTTAATAATTTTCTTTTGCTACAGTGATTTAT